AGCTACTAACTATGGACCCGAAGGTCTGAGGTAAACTACTCACACTTCCTCGGAGGGGCTATGATGATGTAGAAGCCCTCCGTGATGACGGCCCTCTTCCGGCCGAGCTCCGGAACAGGCCCCAAGATGGGATCTCGTGGATACAGAAAGTTGCGGCGGTGGAATTAGGTTTTTGGCTCCTGTTCTGATCGTTTGGGGGTATGTGTGTATATATAGGAGGAAGAAGTACGCCGGAGGAGCAACGAGGGGCCCACGAGGCAGGGGGCGCGCCCTAGGGGGGGCGTCCCCACCCTCGTGACCGCCTCTTTTATTCCTTGGAGTAGGGTCCAAGTCTCCTGGATCACGTTTGGTGAGAAAATCACGTTCCCGAAGATTTTATTCCGTTTGGACTCCGTTTGATATTCCGTTTATCCGAAACACTGAAATAGGCAAAAAAACAGTAATTCTGGGCTGGGCCTCCGGTTAATAGGTTAGTCCAAAAAATAATATAAAAGTGAAAAATAAAGCCCAATATAGTTTAAAACAGTAGATAATATAGCATGAAGCAATCAAAAATTACAGATACGTTGGAGACGTATCACTGCTCCATGCACTGCTGGCCCACCTGCTGCCGCCGCTATTCATCGCTGCTACTGCTGAGTGCTGGCCATGGCCGAGCGGCTATTTGTGTGTGTGTGTGTGTGCAGTGTGCGCGTGTGTGGACGATTGTGCCCCTGGCAAATGGGGCCAGCACTGCTCAAGGCAACCTTGCTGCGTTTTGGTTTTCCACGCCGTCCTTCATTGATCTCTAATCTTGTTTCTGTGCAGGTCCCATCAAATCCGGTCACTCCGCCGAATCTGCTGTGGTGGTCGTCGATCTGCTGTTGTGGTCGTTGATTTACAGGTACATGTATATGTATGTTCAGCCCTCTTCTTGGCCGCTGGCTTCTCTTCGTCTCTGACTTCCCCTTGTTTTCCTTGCAGATTCGTCCAGTGTTGTTGGTGCCTCCTTAATTCTGATCCGGTTGCGTCTCCATTCATGGATTTGCAGGTTAATCCCTCTTCTCCCCCCTTTTCGGTCCTCTTCTGTTAGAGTGCTAGGCATACAACGGCAGGTCCAAGGGCTCTTTTAGGCTTGACCATGTCTTTGGCCGGCAAGGGCCTTTTGTTGTTTGTCCTGCCTCTGGTAAAGGCCAAAGGTGCTATTGGTTGTTTTTGGTGCGGTGTAGATTTATGTCTTTTCTTCTTTGTATGGTCCTGGTAGGGCCTGCAATTGCTGCTCCTCTGTTGGTGGAGTGTTGGTGGTTTTGTTGTTGTTGGTCTAGCTAGGTTCCAAGGAATGGGATATTTAGATTCGTCTTGTTCTGTTGATGGCTTCTTATGCGGCTGCACATTGGATCTAGCTGTGTTCTTAATGAAATATGGCTTTGTTGTGTAAGAAAGAGTTAGGCCTGCTAAGTTTCTTGGGGTTGTGTGATGAGTACTATTCCTAGAGATGCTTTAGTGTTTTAGTGCTTTGATTGATATTTTGAAGAATAAATGGAACTGCTGAGGGCCAGAGCCTAAAACAGAGGAATGGAGTTCTTGGATCCATATGGTTTTGTAAAATAGAGAAATTGAGTTCTTGAGGTTATATAATAATTAGGCCTGTCTAGGAGGTGCTTCTCTGTTTTCCCCCTCTTTTGGTTAGTACTTTTGAATGAATAAATGGATCTTCTGAGAGATGACAGTTAGAATAAATTCAGCTGCCTTGGAGTTGTAGTATATGGATCTGGTGAGAGCTGAGGGCTAACATATATTATGTTGTCTTGGAGTTGTTTTTGCCATCTGATAATTAGGACCTGCCCAGGAGGTGCGTTGTTGTTTCAATTGTGTTCCTTTTGATTGGTATTAGTTTGACGAATCGATGGATCTTGTGAGGGATGAATGCTAAAACGGATTCAGTCGTCTTGAGGTTGTAATATATGGATCTGATGTGAGATGTGGGTTAAAATAGATTTAGTTATCTCAGAGAGTTTTTTATTTTTCTGTTGTGGTAAATGAGGTAGCACGTTGCTGCATGCTTTTAGGTTCGTGATAGTTAGTGTGGGTCATTGAATTTGTGCTCTGCCGTGAAAGTGCGCTGGTATGACCCTAGCCATGGTGGCGTCCCTCTTCCCACGTTTAGGTGCTTCCTCTCTCCATGCTCTTCCATCTGTTCATCTAACTTCCTCCCCCTCCACTCCTGGTCGAGGCACACGTCGTTGATGCTCTGCTATATGAAGCAACCCTCCACTTCAATTATTTTGCTTGGTGACAGATATAGTTCACTTTGTCTATAATCTTCTTTTCTTTTTTTCAGTTTTTTTCCAACTACATAGGTTAGTGTTTAGTCTCCAAGGAAGGTAAGTGTTTATTTATTCAACATTTAATAACGACATGTATTACATGATGTGATGCTTGAGTGTGATTTTGTAGGCAAGACATCAACAGAAAGGTGTTGGGATGTCACCTTTAGTGCCTAAATGCTTCTAAAGTTTCCATCGGCGTTCAACGGGGTTTTGGAGAGATCCTGACCAGCTTAACTGACAACCCCGCTTAGTCCTGCAACGTAAGGATTCCAGGCAGGCCACTGATCTCCACTGCCGGCAATTTATTCTGTACTGTCACTATCCCATCTCCTGTTGTTCTATATGGTCCACGTAAAAGAGGTTTTTGATGCATTGGTTATTTGTATTAGATGATTAGTACATCAGGAAATTGCACAACCTCCCCATCTTTCTAATCTAAATGATGGTAAGCACGAGTAGGCTTCTATGCCTACCAGACTATGTTTTTAAAGCGTCCCTAAGGCGACGCCTAGGCGACGCCTAGGCGTCGAAGCGCTCCCCCTCCTCTTTGGAAAATCGATCACTTTGGATGCCTAGGTGTCCAAAGCGCCCGCCTAGGCGTCGCCTAGGCGCCAAAGCGCCCCCCTCCCTAAGGCGGTAAGGCGTCGCCTTAAAAACATAACTACCGGATCCAGTGTAAGATTTTTCTAAATTGATGTAGTTATAGAGCTACAGAATGGGCTTGGATGTAAGAAACCACCAATTTTAAATTAAAGCGAACCAGGTTTCCGCTCTAGGTTATGTACTTACTTTGTTATCCACTTACCATGTTAATTCATATATCACATGCCGTGCTAGGATATAGGAGGCTTACATTGCAGGCAGCAGAGCAGGTCGATCAGGCAAATCATCATTCGAAGTTTGGGTCGATGATGATGTGTAATAGACTCCTCATGCTGCTCTTGTGTTGTGGTGTTTGCGGCGGCGTCGCTCGTGGTAGTCATATACTGATAGTTGGTTTAATTCTGGTTAAAAGTGTCAGGCTTTTGAGAACAAGGTAATGTCACCTCTGAAACTTAGGTGTCTCTTTGTGCTCATTTTCAGATACATTGGTATTGCGCATATCTGGTCAAGGTGCCTGAAATTGATACTAGCTCTTAGCTCTGGTCAAGGAGTTACTCATTTGTCGGATGGCTAAATCTTGCTGTACATAAGGGTCAGTAGAAGAACTGTATTCTTACTGTGATGATGTCCATATGGCACACTCAATGGATATGTCCATCAACAGGTTTTTACAACGCAGAGAGTCAGGCGACAAAGCAGTCAGACCAAACTATCTCTATCCATATATATGTAGTCTGATGTTACGCCATAGCCGAACCATATACGTTTCTTATACTGCTCTGCTTTTGATGTATTAGACTTCTATCCATTGTAATGAACTTATTGTCGTGGGAGATCACTATGGCTTGATTATATGGTATGAAGTTTGGGTTTGGTTTTGAGCTCAGCTGTATCAATTGTACATGCTTACAACCATAGATACATGAGATAATTCATTGAGTGATTAAGCATAGTTTTGGATTTGGCGTGCTGGACCAATTAGATGGACACTAGATGGACTCTAGCACTTGGATACTAGTGTCGGAATGTCAGGCACCAGAAGGTTAAGCATCATCTTGTCTTGAACATATTATCACGCTGATCAGGTGTTAGTCTTCGACTTTTGTGGCCTCGGGCTTTTTCAGGACGAGAACGATTTTAGCCGGATGTGTTAGGTTTACGCAGTCCCCCGAAGATCGGCCAACCGCGGGAAGTAGGACTAGCAAGTTTTGAGCTTTGCTAATGCGTGAGAATCACCTATGTTTTCTTCTTTCCAGGATGTGGAGATTGAAGGTAGACAGCACAATCTCCTACTAATGCATTGTACTTGTTACTATAATCTCTCTTATTTCGTAATTGGTATAGAAAAACGGTAATGCAAAAAATCTGACGTCAATTTTTTTAAGCATGGAAAATTTAATTTTTTTTATGGCAAATTTAGTTCACGAAGGGGAGCCTTGGCGCAGTGGTAAAGCTGCTGCCTTGTGACCATGAGGTCACGGGTTCAAGTCCTGGAAATAGCCTCTTACAGAAATGTAGGAAAAGGCTGCGTACAATAGACCCAAAGTGGTCGGACCCTTCCCCAGACCCTGCGCAAGCGGGAGCTACATGCACTGGGGCTGCCCTTATGGCAAATTTAGTTCACGAGCACAAAAATTCCCTGACAAAAAAAAACTGAGACGGATTTGACATGCATATCAACTAAATTTGCCATCATCGGCAAACACATATTATCATAAAAAAACATTCGATTTGCCATGTTCAAAAATTTGACGCTGGAATTATAGTGGAGTATAGGGAAAACACCTTTGAGAACAATCACAGTATCCAGACTCTTATAAAATCACCAACATATATCATTCGGGCAGTGATGACAAAAAAGACTGTGCGGACTTGCTTATTCCGGCGCTACTGTGTGCGGACTGCACGCAGACAGGTATTTGCCGTGCCTTACTCGCGTAACAAATTAAACGACGTGTACCAGTACTTAAAAAACCCATGCACATACTATATGCCGGGGAAACGTAGATTATTCAGCGGAGTACGCGCGCGGCTTTGCCTCGGACCGTCACACCCACACGTACGAGTGCTCGGTGGCCATGCATGTAGCTAGAGCGCCTTGAAGCCGAGGAGCTTCCAGGTGCTGGTGCGCGAGCCGGGCACGCCCCACACGACGCACTCGTACTGGCCCCTGCTCCCGCCGGGCGCCCTCGCCGCGGTCACCACGAGCCTGTAGTTGGTGCCGAGGCCGCCGCCCGCCGGCCGCTCCATCTCGCCGCGCTCCACCTTGACGAACACCAGGGTCGTCCGGCGCGTGATGTCATGCACGAGCACGGCGAACCGGCCCGCCTGCTGCACCACCATGCCGTTCAGGTCGCGATCCGGTATCGGCGCCCACGCGGCGTCTGTCGTCGCGGCGACGGCAAGCAGGACGAGGACCGCCACGAGCACAGCCTGCAGAGACCTCATAGTGGCGTGTCACACACTAGCACTGGTGTGCACTGGTGCAGTTTTCTTGTCGTACGTGGGTGCCTTTGCATGCCCCGAGGCCGGCGATCTTTATAGCGCGGGCAAAGGCGTCGAGCGATGCGCAAGTCTGAAGCTAGCGCCGACGCGAGCGACACGCAGCCGGACAGCGCTGCAAGAGTGCGTGCCATGGTCAACAGGTGATGGATGCGTCGCCACTTTTCTCTGGATCGTGCGACAGCGAGGCCAGTTTGATGCATGCCATGCGCCCCTGGAATCGAGGCCGGCCAGGGGATGACGAGAACTTAATTCCCGGAGGCGTATCTGGGAGATTGATGCAGTGCGATTGAAGGTACGTACGCGCGCACGCCATCTTTTCCAGGGAAAGGTCTGCATGCGTCCATGATGTTCAGCTCGATTTCTTGGCTCTGTAGGGCGAAGAGCCTACCGCCCATTTCTTCTAGGTCTTATTCCATCTGTGCCCCTAATTTCTTAGTTGTGCTCAGTTTTCTCCACGCTTTAAATTTTTGCTCACTTTTCCCCATTCCTTTAGCTGAAACTCTCACAAATATTCATAACAGACGTTTGCCGTCTTGACCATTAACTGACTTGTGGGGCCACGTTGGACTCTGTTGACTGTGGCTGTGGCTTCGTTGGTTGGGCCGTGTTTGTGTTCATAGGACGGGCCCGTTAGTTTGTTGGTAATAAATTAAAAAAGCCTGCTATCGATGGATGCAGCCTGCTATGCATGCCCGGCTTTGGCATCGATGTAGCCTGCTATGCATGCGAACACCGCCACGCACGCATCTAGTGACCTAGACATAATCACATGCATGCACGCCGACACACACGCATCGATCCGTGCCGCACGGTTGCCGGTGGATTCAGTCGCTCCGCAGCGTCGTTTCACGCGTCGCAGGCATCCGTGCCGGTGGCAGAAGGGGCAGGCTGCACGCACGGTCGCGTCCATATGTCGAGGCATCGGTTCACGCCGCAGGCTGCACGCACGCTCGTGAATGGGAGGCAGGCAGCCGCCAACGCAGAGCACGCAGAAGGGGGAGGCAGGCAGCCGCCAACGCAGAGCACGCAAAGCACGCTCACATCGATTCACGTTCACACATTGATGATCGCATCGGTTCACGCACGCACTGAGTCACGATCTACGCCGTTTGCGCGTGTACCCACCTCGTCTCCCCGGGCTATTTAAACTGCCCTTCATTGCCTCTTCTTCTACAGATCCATCTGCGCCTCCAACTTCTCTTCTTCCCCCAAAAGCCAAAGTCGTTCCACTGATGCAGTACAACGGGTCGACGTTCCAAGCGCCGCCCACCGTGCCAGAACGGCGGTACCCCGCCAACGTCGTCGTCGAGGAATCCCTCCGCGTGTGGGCCGACGTTCTCCCGCTGGAGGGGAAGCACTGAGCTTGCACGGGGGTTCCTCCGTGCGGGCTTCCACCACCTCCCGGCGGGCTCGCCGCCCATGTTCAACCTCGTGGAGCAGCGTCCCCACGCCAACGCTCAAGTGGTAGGGCTCGTCGTCCACTTCACCAACAAGTTCGATGCCTACTACCTGCTCGGCAAGGTGTATTGGTGTGGGTGCGAGTTCATCGCATTCACGACCTATAACATCTTCACCGATTTTGAGAGCGTCTTCCCCGCTCGCAACCGCATGCACAGCCTCCCGTACTACCTCGGCGACAACGGCCTTGAGGAGGAGGAGTACTGAAGCCGGCGGCGAAGAAGACGGTGAAGCCGGCGGTTAAGGTGAAGACGACGGTGAAGACATGGCGGTGTTGCCCTAGCTACCCTATCTATCTACTATGTAGTGTGAGTTTGGTGTGTGTGTTGCCCGAGCTACACTAGTAGAAAACAGGGCTTTGGTCCAGGCCGGGTCAGCCCATTAGTCCCGGTTCAGTCCAGAACCGGGACCAATGTGGGCATTGGTCCCGGTTCGTGAGCCCAGGGGGCCGGCCGAGCCACGTGGGCCATTGGTCCCGGTTCATCTGGACCTTTTTGTCCCGGTTGGTGGGATGAACCGGGACCAATGGGCCTCGCTCCTGGCCCACCACCATTGGTCCCGGTTGGTGGCTTGAACCAGGACCAAAGGCTCCCCTTTAGTCCCGGCTCATGTCACCAACCGGGACCAATGAGGTGCCTATATATACCCATCGCTCGCGAGCAGAGCACCCCAGTGCTCTGTTTTTCTCTGGCCGAGGGGGAGAGGGCTTGGTGGTGCTCTAGCTCACCTCCTATGCACACAAGGTGTTCGATGGAATGCCCAAGCCACACTACTTAAGCTTTCTCCTCTCCAAGCTCGACCTCCAAGCTCCATTTTCCATAATATTTGTCTAGGTTTAGCGGTCCGTCACGCCCCGTCCCCGTCTTCACCGCCATCGATCACCCACGCCGAGCTCATCGCCGGCACCACCGTGGTGAGCCTCTTGTTCTTATCTTCTTTCTGAAAGGAAAAATATTCTTACTTGTATGTTTACATAGATACTTGTATTATTTTCTTACTTTTATTATTGCATCTTATATAGTGTGATGGTTTTGGTATCCGCCCCCCGTCGGCCCTCGTCCTGTCTATGATTCGGATGTGCTATATATATTATCTTTATAACTATTGGTTCATTTATTGTTTATGAAAATTATGCCGACCAACGTGACATAGATTTTATTTATGTAGGATGTATGTGAATCGGAAATGCCAACCGACCCTATTGTCGAGAGGTTAAATTTAGTTGAAGAAGAAAACAATTTGTTGAAGGAAAAAATAAAAAAAATTGAGGAGGAGAAGATGATATTGGAGTTGCATGTTGCGGATGTCGTCGATGATCACAAGATCAAGATGGATGCAATGCGCTTGAAGATTAGAAAGATTAGAAAATATGCCATTCATACCGAAGCTTGGTATCATTATGCCGTTGGATCAATTATTACCTTGGTTGCGATTATGATCGCATTTGTTTTTGCATTGAAATGTTTTACATAGTTTCAATGTATGGTTTAATTAATTAGATGCTCTGGAGAGCTATATGTTGTTAGATGAGAACTATGTATGCACTTTGGTTTTAATGTGATGATGAACTTCTATTAATTTGGACACTTAATTATATATAATACACGCAGATGAACCGGCAATGGATGTACGGTGACAGACACACTCGCGAGTACATTAAGGGCGTGCATGAGTTTCTCGATGCGGCTGAGGCAAACAAACAGAATAGTTTTATGTGTTGTCCATGCACTCAATGTGGGAATACGAGGTCTTACTCTAACCGGAAAATCCTTCACTCCCACCTCCTTTACAAGGGTTTCATGCCACACTATAATGTTTGGACGAGGCACGGAGAAATAGGGGTTATGATGGAAGACGGCGAAGAAGAAGAGTACGATGACAACTATGTGCCCCCTGAATACGGTGATGCTGCAACGGAGGGAGCTGGTGAAGATCAAGAAGAACCAGACGATGTGCCCAATGATGCTGCAATGGGTGAAGCTGCTGAAGATCAAGAGGAACCAGACGATGTGCCCGATGATGATGATCTCCGCCGGGTCATTGTCGATGCAAGGATGCAATGCGAAAGTCAAAAGGAGAAGCTGAAGTTCGATCGCATGTTAGAGGATCACAAAAAAGGGTTATACCCCAATTGCGAAGATGGCAACACAAAGCTCGATACCGTACTGGAATTGCTGCAGTGGAAGGCAGAGAATGCTGTGGCTGACAAAGGATTTGAGAAGCTACTGAAAATATTGAAGAAGAAGCTTCCAAAGGATAATGAATTGCCCGACAGTACATATGCAGCAAAGAAGGTCGTATGCCCTCTAGGATTGGAGGTGGAGAAGATACATGCATGCCCTAATGACTGCATCCTCTACCGCGGTGCATACAAGAATCTGAACGCATGCCTGGTATGCGGTGCATTGCGGTATAAGATCAGACGAGATGACCCTGGTGATGTTGACGGCGAGCCCCTCAGGAAGAGGGTTCCTGCGAAGGTGATGTAGTATGCTCCTATAATACCACGGTTGAAACGTCTGTTCAGAAACGAAGAGCATGCCAAGTTGATGCGATGGCACATTGAAAACCGAAAGAAAGATGGGAAGTTGAGAGCACCCGCTGACGGGTCGCAGTGGAGAAAAATCGAGAGAAAGTACTGGGATGAGTTTGCAAAGGACCCAAGGAATGTATGGTTTGCTTTAAGCGCGGATGGCATTAATCCTTTCGGGGAGCAGAGCAGCAATCACAGCACCTGGCCCGTGACTCTATGTATGTATAACCTTCCTCCTTGGATGTGCATGAAGCGGAAGTTCATTATGATGTCAGTTCTCATCCAAGGCCCTAAGCAACCCGGCAACGAAATTGATGTGTACCTAAGGCCATTAGTTGAAGAATTTTTACAGCTGTGGAATGGAAATGGTGTACGTACGTGGGATGAGCACAGACAGGAGGAATTTAACCTTAAGGCGTTGTTGTTCGTGACCATCAATGATTGGCCCGCTCTCAGTAACCTTTCAGGACAGACAAACAAAGGATACCATGCATGCACGTACTGTTTAGATGACACTGAAAGTATATTCCTGGACAAATGTAGGAAGAATGTGTACCTGGGCCATCGTCGATTTCTTCCGACCAACCATCAATGTTGAAAGAAAGGCAAGCATTTCAAAGGCGAGGCAGATCACTGGAAGAAGCCCGCCATGCGCACCGGTGATCACGTGCTTGCTATGGTCAATGATTTACACTACGTAATCTTTGGAAAGGGTCCCAGTGGACTAGCTATTCCAAATGACGCTGAGGGACACGCACCCATGTGGAAGAAGAAATCTATATTTTGGGACCTACCCTACTGGAAAGACCTAGAGGTCCGCTCCTCAATCGACATGATGCACGTGACGAAGAACCTTTGCGTGAACCTGCTAGGCTTCTTGGGCGTGTATGGGAAGACAAAAGATACACCTGAGGCACGGGAGGACCTCCAACGTTTGCATGAAAAAGACGGC